ATAATAATAATAATAATAATAATAATAATTATTATTATTATTATTATTATTATTATTATTATTATTATTATTATTATCAGGGCGTTTACTGCATAACAGTTTTCTTTGCAGAGCCACATGACTCAGCAACTCGGCAACAAGGTGGTGAAGTTTCTGCAGTTTTTAAATTCAAGGAGAGGTCAGGAAAACGCCCAGAGATTTTACTCTAGTAAGAGTCGCACTAGTTAAACATATTTTACTCAAATAAAAAGCAAAACATGTTCATCCAAATAACTCAAATAAGAGTATATGTACAGTAAAACTAAAGTAGTTAAAACTGTTACTTACATACAGAGAAACTGATCAGAACACCAAGCATTAACATCAGACAGACAAAACTATAGTTAGTGAAAATCCAGGTATTTTAAAGACTAAAATTAAAATAATTCCTACAAATGACATAATTACAAAACATCAAATTCAGGCAAAATTGATACTCTTCCTATCAATGTAAAACTCATGGAAGTAAAACTTACAGTCGACAGTGTATATATATTTGAACAAGGTCAAGTATTTTCAGTGACAATATCTACAGTTTACAGTGTTTTCATTTGGCCTCTTAAATGGCTCAGAAGACAGAAAATAAAATAACAAAACTTTTGTATAAACAGAAAGACTGACATGAACATAAACTCTGGCTTTTGTGTCTCGTGTACTTTTGTTTAAAGTATATTTATTCTTCATTTTGAGAAATTACTCAGTGTGAATAGTATCCTGAAAGTTTTCTGAAGTAAAAGTAATGATACTTCATAATAATATTATACAAGTAAAAGTAAAACGTGTCATAAAAGTACTCCTAAACATATTTCCCCCTAAAAAAAGTTACTCAAGCTAATTTAACTAAGTAAATGTAATTACTTACCACCTTCAAGTAATCAGTTTGACTTTAAAAGTTGGAAATAAGGAGCTGCAACAGACTGGCGACCTGTCCAGGGTGACCCCGGCTCTCGCCTGAAATGTCTTGCTGGAGATAAGCACTAGCAACCCTCCTGACCCCACTAAGAGACAAGGTGAAAGAAAATGGATGGATGATAATAAGCAGTTTCATTTATTTATTTATTTATTTTTACCATAACAACATGCTGAGGTATTGGAGAAACACAAAAGACAAAAAAGCCTTTCATCTTTGTAAAATTTTATCAAAAACAAAATTGACAATCCGATCTGCAGCTGAAAGCAAATATTCAGTTTTAGTGATTAAGTAGAAGACTAACAGACCCGTTTTTCTCAGTCAATTTGCTAGATTTTGTATGAGATTTTTTGTTATTGCCTTCTTCAAAATTCAATAGTTTCTGCACACTAATCTTACTATTATCTTTAAACACGTGTGTAGGCAGACCTGTGGATTATGAATTATTATCTCAAACAAACCACTTGTGTGACCTCAAAGGTTTCCAGAAAGCTTGTGAACACACAGCACAGTGGAGGCAATCTGACCAAAACCTTATCTACTTCTACATTGGTTAACTTTTAAAAATGCTACAAAATACAATATAGCATGTTATCAAAAAACACAGTGCTTCTACATTTTTACCTTCAGCCAAACCAGGACCAGCCTGATTTGGTTATCAGCAACAAGGCAGTTCAAAGTGCTTTACATCACAAAAACATCATAAAAACAGTCACAGTGACTAATTGTGAAATCAGGGTGTTTACTGCCTAACGGCAATAAACCAAGTTTCTAAATCACTGAGCACTGAGCTTTTCAGTGATTTATGAATAACAGAAGTATTTTATGGTCTATTGTCTGAGGGAGCCAGTGGAAGGACTTTAGATCTGGTGTGATTTGCTCTAACGTTTTAGTGACAACACCAGCAGCAACATCTGGAGGATTTTTTAGTCAGACCAGTGAAGACGCCTTTGCAGTAATTGATGCGACTAAAGATAAATGCAAGGATGAGTTTCTCTAGGTCTTGCTGAGACATTAGTCCTTTAATCTTGGAAATGTTCTTCAGGTGATAGAAGGCCGACTTTGCGACTGTCTTAATGTGGCAATGAAGGTTCAGGTCAGAGTCCATCACTACTCCCAGATTTCAGGCCTGATTGCTGGTTTCCACTGTAATATCTGAAGCTTCATCTTGAAGACAGAGCTAGCTCTACCTAGTACGGCTGAATGGTTGCCATGGAGATTAAAGGATTTCACAAACATGCATGAATGAATCAAGGCAACACTCCAGGTATGTTTTTGATGAGTGAATAACATTATGATATTATGTAAAGCTGAAAAGAGGTGATTTTACACTACACTGCCCCTTCAAATAAAAATAAAAAAAAAATCTTCAAGACTGTCATGTCGGGTTTTAATCTTCTGACCCACATGCAAGAACTCGGAAAATCAGTAAAATGATGTTTATTACAAAGATGACAATCAGAAAAGGCAAACGGTTTGTTCCAGGGATGGATCAGCGCTCTGGGCAGGTGACTGGAGGAGGAGAGAGTAAAGGTGAGTTCACTGGCTGTAAGAAATGGCAATATGCAGAAAACTAGAATGTTCTTACTTGAGGTGAAGTAATTGAGGATGAGAGCAGATCTGATGGTTCCTTTGTGAATGTCTTGAAAAAGGGGGGTTGCTGCTGAGCTAAAGGGCAGTGAAGGCAGCGCTGGAGGGCTGACAAGGTCAGACCTAGTTTCTCTGTGGCAGGAGCGAGGAGAACAGCCTACGTGGAGATTCTGGAAGATCTGGTCACAACGAGGAGGTAACAGGGACTTGGGCATCCGGTGGGTAAAATCCACCGGCGTCACAAGGAGAGGTGAAGAAAATGCTGATTGGGAGGAGTTCTCAAAGAGAGCAAACACCAGAAGTGAACAGGTGGCCTGTAGTACCAAAACTGGCAAAACACTCTGGCGCTGAAGTGTAGGCTGCCTCCTCCTCTTCAGATCCTCTAGATGAGATAATGGGCTGCAGGTGAACCAGATCAGCGCAGCAGGTCCAAGCCCTCCAGGAATAGCCTCCAGGCGACCCCTAGTGGATGGAAGGAAAAGCAGCAACCAGAAAAAACACCCAGGATCCCAACAAAGACTATGACTGCAACATATTTTAGTTTATGTATTTAGTTTTCCACATGTACATTCTATGTGCAATAAACCTGTTTTGTAACATAAGATGGTAGATAAGACTTCACTATGCAGAAAGAAAGAACCAGAACAAAGTACCAGAATGTATTCTTGTTAACAATTAACTGGGTCTTCTTATCAGTCAGATAAGTTACTCAAACTAAAAGTGAAACCAAAAACATCCTACAAATAGCTTTGAACTCTTTCTTTTATTCCACTTCGACAGTCCTTCTTCTCTGCAGCTCATCACCTGTTCAGGTAGGTTCAACAGGAAAACTCCCTGCAGTTCAGCTGCACTGACTGATGAATTTATGTGTTTGGAAACTTTTAGGCAATATATCTAATTTATTTTGTATTTTAATTGTCTGAGCTGGTCAGTGTTTCTGATAACGTGTTGGGGTTTGTCTTGGTAAATGCTACAAATAGGCTCCTTCATATTCTTATGAGTAAAACTGAATTATAACATTTATGGCTTTAAAAAAGTTCTAAACAAAAAACATTAAACAAAAAAGGGGGAAAAAAGAAGGTGAAGTGAATAAATCTAACTCTTCATTGTCTCTCTCAGCTCGTTGTTCCCAGTCATGGGGAATCGGCCTCCAGCACCTCGTAAGTATCACAGGGCTGTTTGATTGGCAGATTTTTAGTTCAGAGAATAGTTTAAGTACTTTAACTTACTGTGAGTTTTAAATGACTCCAGTGAAATAAAATTACAATCAATCAACTCATTTCCACTTTATTTAGATGTATTTTGAGCCAATATTTTGTTCTATTAATCAACACTACTTTGGTTGCATTGTTTATATTAATACTATTATCAATCCACATTTTCAGTTTATTTAGCATAGTATTTATGCTACGTATATGATTGCAATAGCTGTCATCAGAATAAACAGGATCATCTGCAAACAAATAAATACATTTAAAAATGTAAATAATGTGGGGTCCAGTACAGCTCCCTGTGGACCCTGAAAGCAACACCCAGACATTTTGATTTAAACTCACCCATGAGAAGATGACAGAGATTTTATTAAATGTTAGAGCTAGTAATGTTTAAATATGCTAAAAACTGTCTATGTATTTGTTTTGTGAAAACAATTAAGATCAATGGGATGATATTCACAATACATGCCATAGAACAGCTGTGACAATCAAGGTTGTCGGGGGGGGATTTTCAACATGTACAAAAATAAAATCCCTCTAATTATTTACACTAAAATATTAAATGTGCAAGAAAATGATGGGGGACTGGTATTTTCTTATTAAAGTTAACAAGCATTCTTGTAATAGCAGGCAAAATGGTGTAGGAAGCACTAAATGAAGCCTAGTAGTATAGTAATTGAAGTATGATTTGAATTGGAACTGCAAAATATTTTTATGATTTATTATGACTGGTTTATCATTCAGGACCGGCGCCTCCCCCTCAGCCGCCTCCCCCTCAGCCGGCTCCCGGTAAGTACTTTTGCTTTTCACTCTCACACAAAAATGCACTCATCTTCTCACTGAAGAGCTCAATCTGTTTTATATATTACTAACTATTCTATGCACTAAAGGTAAAAATCTGTCACTTTTTTAAATTAAAAATATTTAGCCTAATTAAACTTAATCTGTTTTGCTGTGTTTAGCTCCTCCACCGCCTCCACGTAAGTAGAACTTATTTATTAAGGCTTTTACAGAGAAAATGTGCTTGTGGTTCTATTATTATTATTATTATTGTATAATTATTACAATTGCTTCACTTACCTTGTACACTACCTATGTATTTAATCAAATGCAATATCAGTAGCAAATTATTCTGACATATTTTTTTAAACATTGTTCTAAATTCTCCATCACAGTTTTAACAACTCCATGGAGAGAAACAACATGGGAGTGAGTACATTTGTTTCTGAACGTCTGCATGTTGCCAATGTGTTGCTGTTTCACCATCTCTCATGTCTTCACATTGGAGGAATTTATCCAGCAGCCCAGGTCACTTTCCTTTATGCAGACACCCACATTCCCATTATCAGTGTCTAGGACAGACTGGACTTTACTAAAGTCAACACAATTTTTCAGTTCAATTGGAGCCTGATGTGAACACCAGTTTTAATATGTATTTTTAGTTTTTGTTCATACTGTATACATTTTAAAATACAATGTGAATAAGTTTTTTTTTACAGTGTTATATTCTTTTTATTATTAACTTGTAATTTCCCAGGGCTTTGGTTTATCATAACATCACTTTATAGATCATTTACTGTCTTCCTATTGTGAGCTCATCATCAATAGCTATAATGATTCCAGCCATTAATACATTAAACAAACACTTTCGATGTAATTAAAAAAAGACTTCATTTATCCCATAGGGAAATTAAATTATAAAAATGTATAAAAATCAATATAGATGTGGCTTTGTTAAATGTGTTGAAATGCAAAGTCCTTACCACTTCAACTTGTAAATGCAAGTCTAAAACTTGCATTTACAAAATAACCCAAAAATGGTAAATTGTGCCACAAAGCTGATGAGCAGCCAGAAGTTTATTCTGGGGGATATCATTTAAATTATAACCTTTATTTCTGTTCAGATGTGAAAACAAACAGGAACTTCTGCAGTACATGAATAATTTTCAACCTCAAAATGAAGAAGTCAAAGCCATCAGAGTTTTACTCTGTGGACCAGTCGGTGCAGGAAAGTCCAGCTTCATCAACTCTGTCAACAACGTCCTGCAAGGGAGGATGACCAATGAAGCTCTGGCCAGCTCCACAACCTCTGATCAAAGTTTTACAAAAATCGTCAGTATAACTTCTTGTTTGATGTTAAAGGCTTATTCTTATGATTTATGACTTCTTACACATCTCTGCTTGGTGGATCAGCTCATACTGTTTTTTAATAAAATGTAGAAATTGCTGTCATTCCTCATTCACCCTCTATCCACAGCTAACGTGATTCTTTTATTGGATAAAGCTTACATTTAATTATTGGGCAAAAGTCATAACAAAAACATTTTGTAGTTAGAAAAATAAAACAATGCTAACCTCCCGTAAGCCGGAACAAGCAGAGTCATCTGACCTGTCATCATGTCTGGTGGGGATAATAAGGGTCACATAGACTATTTATTTTGACAGCCCACGCTTTATGGCACAAGTTTTTCTGATCTGTCAACTGGGCGGCCCTGCTGCACTTGTTCATGTTACGGATAAACTTTGCGGCTGTGTGGTGAGATCTGCCTGACTGGAGCAGAGCAGAGGTAGAAAAAACACTTGATATGATGCAGTTTGAGGGATTGTGGTAAAACAACAGAGTACTGCATGACTGTGAGGCCAGCCAGTCTGCTAATGTTAGAAACTATCCCACCAAGACGTATGTAGCAACATGTTCAGATTTTTACTTTGCAAAACAAATTTAAGATTAGAATTAAACTAATGTATGTATTTTGAAGCACATTTACTTCTCTTCTCAAATTTTAAATGTATTTGTAGCAGCTACATATCAGCTGTTTACATAAAAACATCTTTCATTTTTCTTTTTCTTTCAGTATAAAACCTATAAAATCAAGAAAGAAGGCAAGGGAAACTTTTATCCCTTTGTGTTCAATGATGTCATGGGTCTGGAGGACGGAACTGGAGTCAGACCAGACGACATCAAAATAGCCTTGAAGGGTCATGTGAAGGATGGCTATAAGGTATAAATATATACTTCTTTTACTCTTAAACAATTCCTCTTTCTAAAGCTATTATAATTATCTTGCTATATATGGAAAATATATGTTTGTAGCAATTGTACTGAATATACGTCACATTATTTCTACAGTTCAATCCTGCATCTTCTCTTTCCGATGATGATCCTGGCTTCAACTCTTCCCCGTCCATCAGTGACAGAGTTCATGTTCTGGTCTGCATCTATGATGCTAATGCATCAGAAATGAAATCGTCTGTTTTACAAAAAATGAAGGAAATCAGAGAAGCAGCCAGTGAGCTGGGTAAGAAACAAAAATATAACATAAACTTGCGTCCAGTAAAGTAATGTAACTGTAAATGCAAGTAAGCAAAAATACTAACATTTTACTCCAGCAGCCACAGAGGTTACAAAATAAACAGGAGCTGGTCAAAAAAAGTAGAAATCATGAAAAAGCTTATTTAAATCAGTAATTCCACTAACAGGTGAAAAATCATTACACACAGACTGTTATATTTCAATGTTTATTTCTGTTAGCGTTATTGACAACAAATTCAGTATCCCAGAAAATTTTAATATTGTGAAAAGGTTCAATATTGTAGATCCCTGGTGCCACATTCTGATCAGCTAATTAAATCAAAACACCTGCAAATACTTTTAAATTGTCTCTCAGTCCAGTTCTGTAGGCTACACAATCAAGGGAGAGAGACTGCTGACCTTTGACACCTTGCAAAAAGGGTAATACACAAAAGGTCATTGCAAAGAAGCTGGCTGTGCACAGAGCTCTGTGTTCAAGAACATGCATAGAGATGAAGGGAAGGAAAAAATGTGGTTAAAAAAAGTGAAGATTGTGAAAAAAAAAAACTATTTACAGATGGATGGACTGCAGCTGGAGTCAGTGCTTTAAGAACCACCACACAGATCAATGCAAGACATGAGTTTCAGCTGTCTCTTGAGCAAGAGATGGCATCAGAAGCATCTTGTCTGGGCTGAAGACGATGAGGACTCTGGACTGCTGCTCAGTGGTCCAAGCTTATGTTCTGTGATGAAAGTAAATTTTGCATTTCCGTTGGAATTCAAGATTCCAGAGTATGGAGGAAGAGACACAGAATCCACATTGCTTGACGTCCAAAGTATCCACAGTCAGTGATGACTTGGATACCAAGGACACTGCTGTACATGCTCATACTTTTGATGTTCATATGTTTCAGTTGGCAACATTTCTGAAAATCATTTTATTGTATTGGTCTTAAATATAATTCTAATTTTCTGAGATACTGAATTAGGGGTTTTCATTAGTTTTGAGTTACAACCATCGACATTAAAAGAAGTAAACACTTAAAATATATCTGTAAAGTCTCTATGTTATGAATGGATATAGTGCAATTTTTTTTAATGGAATTGCTGACATAAGTCAACTTTTTCATAATATTAAATTTTTTTACTAGCACCTGTAAGTATAAAAATGTGAAAAAAAATAATAATTACGGAATGCAGCTGTCATTCTCAAACATTTCATGGTGTTTAGAAAAGCCGTACGATCCATTATGACAGGAGAACAAAGGGATAGGCCTCCAACCCTAAAACATTAGTGACATTTTACATTTTGGTCTTTTATTACAGTATGTCATATTTGCCACATCAAAAACTTGCTCCTACAGCTCATTTGAGAAGAATTAATTTTATGTACTTGTTAAAGTATATTTCACTGCTCATACAATGTCAACATACAAGAAAATAATCTCTGTATCCACAGGAATCCCTCAGCTGGCGATTCTCACCCACATTGATTCAGCCTGTGGGGAAACACAAAAAAATCTGAGAAACGTCTACAGGAGCAAACATTTAAAAAAAAAGGTGAGTTCTACTAAGATTTATTCAAACAGGAGAGAAAAAAAAACTAACTCAACATAAGTGTTTATTTTTTGAAATATAGATGGGCGACTTCAGCTCCAGTCTGGGGATCCCAATGAACTGCATCCTCCTAATGAAGAACTACAGTCATGAAATTCAGCTGAATCCAGACGTCGACACTCTGATCCTGAGTGCTCTGAGGCTGATGGTTGACTTTGGAGACGACTACGCTGACAAACTGTGAAGCCGCAGAACAGTTTGTGGGGATGTGCATGAAAATCACAGCAGTAATATAGTTCATATCAGTTAAAATTATGAGGTGAAATATTAAGGTTAGTATAAAATAAAAAAAAATAAACGTCAGTAGGGGCTTTGATTATAGTAAGTTTGCTTTTTCTTTAAGTTGGTTTAATCTAAAACACCATTCAGGTGTAGGCGCCATAAAAGATACAGCAGACAACAAAAATTACTTAGAAGAAATAAAGATGATGTGTTAGTCAACAAAGGAGTAAAATAATGACAAGGTATAATGACAAGAGAACCAATTTAGAGTAAATAAATGTGCTCCACTCTGATTCTCTGTACCGTTCATCAAACTTTCATGTTAGTTTGAAATTGCTAAAGAAATTCATTATAAATTAAGAAACCTTAATGAAAGTTGCTTCCTGTGATAGAGATTCAGAGAGGGAAGCACCTGTGTCCTGAGTGAGTGAGGCTTGTGTTGCATTATTGTTATTGCTGTAAGCTCTGCTTATAGCAATAACAATAATACCTGAATTTAAAATATTTTAATTTTCTACTAATATAAGTTTAATTAAAATAGAACAACATTTTTAGTACTCTAATTTGAAATGTATTTTTAGTATGTGAATGGAAAAAAAAATCTGAATTAACAGAAATAAAACCTTGAAAACATAAATATGTTTGTGATTGATCCAAATATTGTGTTCTACAGGTTCTGGGTGGCTCAGTAGAGCATCTTTTCCATTTGGTGCATGTCTTCTGCTTCTCTTTTCACCATTTATCCATTTATCCTGGTCAAAATACTGCTCAATAAATATGGAGTTAAATTAGTTTCACAATTACTCAATAAAAAAAATATCAACAACAAAAACTCAAATAAAACTGGTCAAAACTTTTGGAATTGTAATATTTGTAATATAAAAAAACTAAAAAGGTTTTGTTTAAAAAACTATTTTCTTTTTATTAAAACTATTTTTTTTCTCATGAAGTGAAAAAGTTATTTGCATTCATTTTCACGTGAGAATCTTTTGGTTCAGAGCCTAAGTTTTTGGTTGCAATTCTCAAAGTTTTTTGTTTTTTGATTCTCCCAATTTCTTTGGTTGAATTCAAAAAGTTTTGGTTGCGAATCTCACATGAACATTCTGGGCGGGGCCTAAAGACGAGCGATGAAAGAAGTGTTCCTGTTGGTTAGTGCTGACTAAAGTGGATGACTCGACTCTCCCACCTCAGAACTCTACGGAGCCCTCCAGGCGACATGTGAACTTTTTTTTGTCTTTTGTGGTCCTTTGCAATCATCTACTGATCAATTCATGCGGCATAACTGAATGCTGTAAGCTTTTCTTACGGTGGCCGCCGTACTTTCTGCCTTGATACAAGGTTATGTAAAGGTTTTCCATGAATGTTAATATCTGACGTTTTATATCTTTTTATGATATATACACAAACTTTCTGTAAGTAGGAAAGAAATAAAAATACATCCAAACTATTTGGACTATTTCTGAGTTATCGCAGGTAATCTGACAGTTTTGATTGTGTCTCTATTGTGTTCGTAGTCTGGATGGTTTGAAGTGCTGCTTTCAGTGCCGTTTCATCTTAGCCTTAAAAGACATAAACATGCAGTAAATAAATCGATTGTGCATCAGTGTTCTGCACCAAAGAGATAATAACGTAAAATAAATGTTTTCCCTCATGTCCCCTCGAGGTCTCCATAGAACTCTGTCCCGTCAGTTGATTTATTTTATTCAGGGATGTGCACACCATTTAACTACCAAACAAAACTTTTATACTATATTTCCAGGGGAGATGAAATATGAAGAGAGCGTGAGGTGTAGCATATCTTGGCAGACAGCCATGTTCAGATTTACAGGAGAAATAAAATTAAAACCCTTTGTGTTTCTGAATGGACACCTATGTGTCCATAAATACATGAAGTGTGTGTGTGTAAACTTATGTAGTTGATATTTAAGGACATTGTTTGTGTTTGAGATGTGTGAACTCTGGTCAAGAAGCTGATCTCTGGATCTGCAAGCCCCCCTCGGTCTGAAGAGCCATCAGCAACATGATCATAGAGGTCTGGATAGAATAAGAGCAGAAAATATTATGTGAAAAACTGAGAAACACCACAGGTAATAGCAGAGAGAAACACTTAAAATACAACATATAAGACTAAATTAAGTAATATCTTTACATGTCATTCTCTCCAGTTTTGTCAGTTTATCAGGCTATTTTCCTCATGTTTCATCTTTTATCAGTCTGCCGCTATTCTTAGACAGAGACAGTCTCATCCAAAAACGTTAGAATCTACATATGACATACTGAAAATTTACAATACAATAAATAAAATATTTGTTTTCTTTTAGAATTTGGTTATTTTTAGATGAGGAGCTGGATTCATCCTGGTAAAATCTTAGTATAAATATTAACCTTTTTCATCAGCTGATGAAATGTCAAAAATGCCATAATTTTCAAATAAATAAAAAAAGTTTGGACTAAACGAACAGAATCAATTATCTCTCCATCCTTATCAGTTTCAGTCCATGCTCTTCAGTTTTCTTGTCACAGATTTACTCCATTTATTGTGAGAAACTTTCATATGTAAACTCATATCTAGCTTTGAAAATACAACCCACTGATACCAGTTCATTACGTAACATTTTTCCTTACAATGAGTTTATTTTAGCCATCCTGGGTCAGTGTGATTGGCTGAAAAATAGGGTACCCCATGCTTCGTTCATATGATTGGGTGAAACAAGGAAGCTATGATTGGTTGCTGATCACCCAATCAGATAGACCATTTATTAAAAAAAAAAAAAAAAGATTTGCGAATTTTGAGACGTGAGGGGAGCCTCAAAATTCACATACAAATGCAATGCAACTCACAGGTCAGAAGGAGCTGGTAAATTAAGAAATACGAGTGTGGATCTCATCCTGCATTTGTGAATCTTGGTCTGTGCGTTTGTGAATTATGAGACAGTTTTAGCTCCTCAGTCCAAAGAAGAAATGTTACACAACTTATGACAGTCACATATTTTGACCCTGTTACCATATTGTTCTAGCTAATTTTAGCATTATGTAAAGTTCATAAACTAGGTTTGTGTAATATTCGCCTGTCTTTATGTTGAATTCGTTAACCAGCGCACTATTGTTTAGTTGCATTAAGCGTGAAAAATATAAAATGTATCTGGAAGAAATATGAGTTAAAAAGTTATTGGGTAATGCCTCCGTGTGTGTGTGTGTGTGTGGGGGTGTGTGTGTGTGTGTGTGTGTGTGTGCATTAACTAGCATTGAAGCTAAATTGGGAAAGCACACCAAACTATTGCACCAGTGTCTCATTAGGTCTGAACCACCCATCAAATAACTGTACAAACAGATTATTTATTTATTTATTTATTTATTTATTTATTTATTTATTTATTTATTTATTTATCAAGCACATAATCAGTGCTGTGGATGAGACGAGACAATGTAACTTTTATATATTTTCATCCCGATGCAAAGTGAAAATCTAAGCTGGTAGACCATGGCCATTTGATATATGGGTTAAGGTACCGCCATATGGAGGACCATTATTTATTATTATGTCAGTTTTGGTCCTCCATACCTCCAGCAACATGGCAAGAAATCCACAATTCTTACTCTCTGTGATTACAGGCCTGATTATGAACTTTAGAGAAGAAGCCAGTGATTTGGGTAAGAAACAGAAATACATAATAAACTTGCATTCAGTAAAGTAATGTAAATGTAAACACAAGTAATAAAAATACTCAAACTTTACTTCAACAATCATAGAGGTTATCTAAAATAGGTGGTAAAGAAATGCATAGAACAGAAATTAAAATAACATTTTACTGCTTAGTCATTTTTTTCATGATGCCACAAATGTTTGTCACTTATTAAAATTAACCCTGAGAGGTTTTAATATTCTTGTTATAATATATTTTTTGCTTATACAGTTTTAAGTTACAAAAAATGAAACTCTGTCCACAGGAATCCCTCAGCTGGCGATTTTCACCAACATTAATTGGGTGAGAATTGTCAGTCAAATATTGTAAATAATATTTATTTACATTTATTTTATGCAATTTGGCACTATCAAATAGAAACTGATTTTCATTCAATGTACTGAAAGTATCATTTAATCCAAGGGTTTTTCCTATAAATCACATGATCTAATGAAACTGAAACTGAAAGTAAAAACTTTTAAATAGCTTTGTACCTGGCTTTTATTACCACTGCATTGGTTCTCCTTCCCTGAAATACATCAACTTTTCAGGTAGGCTCAGCAGGTAAAAGTAACCATTGAATTCATGTGTTTGGCCAATTTTAGACAATTTTTAGGAAAATTTAGCAAAGTGTAATATGTTGGGTTGATTAGTTGGATTTTGTTTTCTGTATTTCTTAGTTCTTTTGTTCAGATCTGTTAAGTTTTTGTTTTACTTTGGTCCAGTCCTTTCTTAGTTATTTTAGTTCATCACTATTATGTTATTTCTTATTCTGATTAGTTTTGTATTGGTTTTACTATAGTTCAGTCCTTCCTAGTATTTCTAGTTGTTTATTTCTTCTAGTTATTCTTAGTTATTGTAGTTTAATTATTCCTTGTGTCTATTATGGTTTTGTTTTGATTTATTTTCTAGTCCCCTGTGCACCTCGCCCTGTGTCTCTCTCACTTCCACTCTTTCTTTCTCTCTCTTTGCAGAGAGAAAGAAAGAAAGAAAGAAAGAAAGACCGCCCCTCAGTCTGAATTTCTCCTCTCTCCCCCTCACATTTGCGATCAGTTTGCCAACCAGCCCAGTTCTTCTTGTTTCAGCAATCAACCTTCCAGTATTTAAGCTTCTCTCTATCAGTCACTCCTTGCTGGTTCTTCTTGTCATTCCTTGTGCTTCCCAGTATTCTCTCAGAATCTCGTTGCTGGATGTTTTTATATTTATTTTTTATTTAGTCATTTTTTCATTAAATCATCAAAACCAATTACTGCCTTCGTTTGGAAACCAGCCAGCTGGTCCCAGCAAAAATTATCCATGGTGAGAGCATAAAGAAGTTTCTAGTAACTATCAGGATAAAATGTCTCCCTTGCCTGCAGCCACTGCTGGGGCCCAGCTCCTCCAGCCTCCAGAGTTTCTTTGTGGGCTCCTCTGGCCTCCTAAGCTCGTGCACCGCCGGCATCCTCCAAGGTCCTCCATTGCCAATCCGCCAGACTCTGGGCTCCTTCATGATTTTCTGAACTACAGTCTTGTTTTTGTCTTAGCCGTTTTTCTGAGGCACCCTCCCCCCATTCCGG